GATGGGCATCCAGGTATGTTTGTTTATGATCAGCTGAAGGATTGGCCAAGTAATGTTTGTGTGCCATTTTGAGATAATGTGAAGTCTTGTCTCCATTGGTTTTTAACTGATGCTGTAAAAGGAAGTATCTGTCCCATCATTACTGCCCTGGATGTCTCCCATTGTAATTTAGGGTCATCCGTGTTTTCCAGATTATCATCTTAAAGTTAGCCCAAATGGACTGTAAATTACTCTGGAAAGATGAATTGTTAGTAAGTTATTCTGAGAAATGTGCGGTGAATTGTTGTGAGGGTAGTGTAGAGACCATTCGTGTGATAGGTGCGTGATCCAAGACAGTGATCGTCTCTATAGTGGAACTAGTGACATAAAGTAAAAGCACCAGGGTAACCAGGAAAATATTGATTTGAGAGAAGGAATCATGAACTGGAGTGTGGAATGTGTAATCTCTCTTCCTGGTCATGCAAATTATATGATTTAGTAAAGTGTGATCTGTGTGAGACATGGATCCCGATGAGGATCTGTCTCGGGGTGGGTCAAGGACTGCATTAAAATCTCCCCCCGATTATAAGTTGGTCAACATAAATATGGGTAAGCAAAGTTAGGAACTAAGTTAAAAAAAAAAAAAGTTTGGAGCATATACATTGACAATGCAATAACAATGTACAGTACTGTTAATGGTAAGACATAAAATACTTTATTGGCCCTCCACAGATGTGGATCACATATTGTTAGAGTGTAGTACGATCGACACATACCTGACTTTGGAGAGTTGGTGTTTTGTCTGTCCCAGCCCAAGCGGTCGGACAAGTCCCAGGGTAGGAGTGAGTGAAGTATACAGTAAGCCCGACTAGAAAGGGGCCATGGGGCCTGAACGATATACAGCAATAAGATCCAGTAAAAAATAGTGGGAGTGCTATTACAGCTCCTCATGGCTAGGTGAGGGTTTGACCAATGGGCCTTGAGGGATTCTGTCCCAATTTGGAAGGCTATCCTGTAGAAATTCAGAGGCATCAGTCACTGAGGTTGTGGTAAGGTTTCATTTAGCAATTTGTAGATGGAGAGTGTCAGGATAGAGACGAGCGAATCATATATGAATTCTTCTTAAATTATCTTAAGAACATACTATGGCACAGATTAGGTCTAATACCAGATCTAGACTCTGCAATTGCATTTGACCTCATTCAAGTGTAACAGTTTAGAGATTCACTGTGGTCAAAGTTCAAGCGTACCAGCTCCTTGAACGATCACTGTACTTACAGACAATGGAGAAATGCATGCACAAAACATACAAAAATGGCAAAGGCCCAATATTTCTGTGAAAATTTGAACAACCTATCAAACCCAAGAAACTTCTGGAAAATCATAAATAGCATACAAACCCCCACAATTCACTCCCAACCCTCCAATGTCAAAATGGACAACAAAACACTGCAACACTCCCTAGATGCAGCAAATGCCATTAATAATTATTTTGTTGGATGTGCTACCACCCTGGTTGCTAAGATAACAAATGACACTCATTTTCATACCGCAAATCAAGATCAGGCCCTGCCAAATCTTTAAAATCCTCATGTGACGGGCTAACCGACCAGACCAGACGCCATTCTCAAAAGCTCCTCCAAAAACAACTTGAAACTACCCAATATCCTACCAACAAAGCCCCATCTGACCATAAAAACGCCGCAGCGGACCTGCCTAACTGGAGTCGCACCGATAGATGCCGTTTTTATACACGGCGAAACACTCCAAGCCGCGGCGCAGGTCTGCGGCCTACTACGCGCCGACGATCCCAGGCCTGGAGACTCTCCTGCGCGGTAGCTACACACTGAGCCCGCCAGGCACCGAGCCTCACGCCACACAGATCACCCAAAACTCCATGCCTGCAATGGGACGCCGGTCACAAAAACCGAACTCCACGGCAGACGGCAGGGACATAGGAGACATGCTGAGGCAACCTGCACAACCCAAAACGCTCCGTTCAGAGGATCAATGGGCGAGCACCCTGGCGCAGAGGAAGAAAGAACCCACGCTACTCACACAGGCAAGTCTCATAAACTCCATTGAGACCTCTGACGGGTTGGCCCCCACCACCAAAAATGACTTGAAAAACCTGCTTGCTGACATACACAAATTATGGGCAGCAGACTTAAAACTGTTGAGAAACGACATACAAACCATCACAGACCGGGTGCAAACCGCAGAGGAGGATATCCTTGACGCCAGATCAGACATAAAAACCCTTAAAGAGACAGTGCACCAGCTACAAGACCATCACTCACACTTCTCCCTGCAACTCACGGCCCTAGAAGACAAACAGCGCCGAAATCACACAAAAATACGTGGAATCTCTGATGAGGTTACAGCTGAGGAGCTCCCACACTATCTCCGCAGGTTACTATCCACCATATTACCCCACACTTCCGCCAAAACGATAATCATAGATGGGGTGCATCGCATCAATAGCTCTGCCAAGTTGACACCTGGTGTGGCAAGGGACGTCATCCTCAGATGCCTAACCTTCCAAGACAAAACCCGAATAATGACAGCCCTGAGAAACAAAACGCCTCAGACCTTTGAGGGCTCCTCCTTGTCTTTTTTTCAAGATCTCACTAAAAGCACACTACTCTGGCGCAAATCAATGGGAACTGTCACCTCACAATTGAGAAACGCAGACATCACCTACCGCTGGGGAGCCCCGGTGTCCCTGATAGTACCCCACAATGGAACTAATCACACCATCACCTCTGTAGAAGAGGCACCAGCGCTCATGAAAGCTCTGGGACTGGTAGGGCAGAACAGGGGACAGCACTCTAACACTGCCGCTGGAAACTGGGACCTAGACCGCATCACCCCCTTCGTCCCAAGGAACGACAACTCGCAAGCTACTACCACCTGAAACGCACCCGAGTCTGGACATGGAGAACTGTTGATATATTGTTTAAATTTGTTTTCCCACTTCTCTTTCCTCTATTCTTACATATCTACCATGTTTGTGTAGAATGCATAGCAATTGGCCTCCTGACTTCTCACCCCCCCCTATCTCCTTAGGTTAGGGGTACTTTATAGAAACGGAGGTATAACCCCCATAAGTGGGGCGATCTAACACCACTACTGCACACCTGATATTCCCAATCTCAGGCCACCAAACAATCTTTAGAATATACCCGGGGTGAACACCTACAATCCTCAGTGAGCTAAAATATGCTGACCCCATTCTAGTCCACTAGATACAGTATCTCGAGCATATTAATACTTAAAGCTCGGGAACACCTGAGAGCTCCCACCCATACAACAACCCTCTTATCCAGTCGCCCCTCTCAGACACATCCCGAAAGTTGAACCTTGTTGCAGTATGGGGAAAAAAAATGGTGCCACAGTATAGTAATGCTATTGTAAATCTACTCTGTATACCTGCATCTTACGAATTTGCCATGTACCAACCATGTCTTTATTAGGCACCACCAAAATAAAGAATTTAAAAAAAAATTTAAAAAAAATCCTCATGTGACGGAACGTTGGCAATCCGAGTACCTCTGCCAATCGATGCTCCTAGTGCTCGCTGAGGACTCCAAGCACTCCAAATGACACCATCAGCACTGCAGACCCCACTTACAGCGATGCAGCTGCGCCGTCTCCACCCACCCTGGACCCAAGGCCAGGATCCAGCTTCCAGTGCGTGAACCTCTCTTTCCCCAGAGAGCAGGAACAGGAACAAGCTCTTAGCAGAGCTTAGTGATCATACCCTGGGGAGTATAGTGATTATAGCAATCCCCAGAGTGTAGTTCTCCAATCCCCCAAACATGAGCCAAGGCTTCAAGAAAGGTACAAGATGATCTGATTTTAATGACCACACACTGGCATTTTTGCAAGTCCCCATGCAAGGGGACATCCCACAGGGTGGGACACAGTACAACCAATCATTTACAGGAAAACTGTAACACACACCCAGCACCAACATACAATCCCTCCCCTCTGCCTGTGATATAATTACTGAACACAATGGGTTAATGTAATTTATCACAGGCAGGAAAAATAAACTTTTTATACATATACTGTAACTTTAAAAATATGCATCATATTCACATAAAACATACATACATATTATTAATCAGCATAATTTAAATATAAACATACCCAAAAATCATTCGAATCTGTTCAGCCGTTCGGGAGATAGATATAAGTCAAGTTTGACCGACTGCAAGCACATTTTCATGCCCAAAACAGTTCCAGAGAATCAGGCTGTGCGGTCGGTCTATTTCCCATGTTAAAGTCAGTTCAAACAGACGAACGACAACCGAATGAACTGTCGAATGAACTGTCGAATGAACTGTCGAACGAACTGTCGAACGAACTGTCGAATGGCGTTCAAACTGTCGAATGCATTGAAGTCTGGAGAAAGTAAAACTTCAGCTGAATTAAAGATGGCCGCCGCCACGTGTTCAATTTTATACCTGTGCCGATTAGTGTCGTTAAAACATCTTAAAAACTTAAAAATGAAAAACCAGTGTGGACCAGATCAAATCCCAGCAATGTTGCTGAAGCTCAGTGCACCAGCAATTGCTAAACCTGTCACTACCCTTATCAATGAATCCCTGGTGTCAGGATACATACCCAAACTTTGAAAGACTGCAAAAGTTGTACCTATCCGTAAAAGTGGTGACAATACTTTGGTATCTAACTATTGCCCGATGTCACAAATCTTGGAAAAAAAGCAAATATGTGAATATTATCAATGATCAAATTATTTGTCCCCTGATCAATCAGACTTTCGTCCAAATCACTCAACTGTCACCCCAGAGATCACCCCCAATATGATAGGCTTCATAAAATACGCCCACTGGTAGATCATCTCCAGCACAAATTTTCTGAAGTTCATACTCCCCAACAAAATGTATCCATTGATGAATCCCTAATGAAATATAAAGGGAGATTACGATCCAAACAATAGATCCCCTCAAAGAGCTCTAGGTATGGCGTAAAAGTGTAAAAACTGTGCCAGAGCGAAAGTGGCTATACATTTGCCTTTCGTGTATATGAGGGGAAATCTGGTCAACTGGACCCTCCTGGCTTTCCTGACTCTCTGGGCACAAGTGGGAAACTTGTTTGGGACCTACTGATCCCCTTGTTCAATAAAGGTTACATCCTTTATGTGGAAAAATTTTATAGCAGTGTCCACTTGTTCAACCCCTTAAGGACCAAACTTCTGGAATAAAAGGGAATCATGACATGTCACACATGTCATGTGTCTTTAAGGGGTTAAAATTCGTTATGGTTTGCAGACACTGGCCTGCAGCACTGTGAGAAGAAATGCCAAGGATTTCCCCAGACCTCTCTGTAACGGCACCCTCAGCATAAAAGGGTTAAACCGCTGTTTAGAAGATCTTTCCCTTCCAGAGATACAGGCACAGCTACTGCAGAACACCAAACTCCCGAACTGCATACAAGGGAATGCTCCAAACTCACGAACTGCATACAAGGGAATGCTTCAAACTCCCGAACTGCATACAAAGTAGCACTCCAAACTCCCGAACTGGAACCTCACGAATAGCTGCTAGCAGACGAACAGAAAAAGCACCCAAGCGGCTTACACTCCTGGCAATCAGTCTCTAACAGCATACAGTAAATCCCCCCCCAAAGACGAGACAGAGCTCCCTGTTGAGGGTCAAGCAGTGGTCTGTTTAATGAGGGCTACCTTCCCAGTATTTATGCAGGTCTCCCACCTGGTGGACACTCCCCTAGGGGACCAAATGGGAGACTGTGACAAAAGACAGACAAGTAGACAAATAGGACACACAGTCACATTATGTTCCCACAATGCATCCTGGCTTCCTCCCCTCTGCCCTGGAGATAATTGAGAAGTAATTCAATTATCTCCCAGGACAAAGGCAAATTGCCATTATGCACGTGGGGATACTAACACAAGAATTACTATTAAAATATACCATGCAAGACACATAACATTAAAACCATACATTTAACCTATCCCCAGATAGCTCAGGTCTGAGCGCACATTATTAAGCGAATGGCGCTTAGACCACACGGATACAGTTTAATCGCCATGGAGCCAAAGTCTTTACAAAGTCAGTTATCATACGAATGGGCTCCATGGGATTCCTATCTGGGGTATAACATAGTCAGGTAAAACTCCCGAACACTGGGCCGTTCGTGCACTCCTGCCGAACAAGAAGGGAGGTTGGCGGCTTCAGCGGTGTTCGCGCCAAACTGTGTCCGTTTTTAGTTTCATGAGTTAGGCGTCAAACACCGCTGTGTGTTCGCATGTTTAAAATGGCCGCGACCTCGTTTTCGGTATACGAATGGCGGCCAACCTGTAATTGTCAATTAAGCTGTGGTTAACTGCAACTTCTGGGAGGCTAATTGCCGGCACACTCCAGCTCCCAGGTGGTCCAGTCATTCGTGCGGTTGTTCGGTAGATTGAATCTATCGAACACCGGGCAGAAAATCACGAATAAGTATTTTATGCAGGGGAAACAAAGCCTTTTAACATGGGGCCATAATCCAAAGGCAGCAGGCGAGCAACCAGGCTTCTCCAATGCAATGTGGCGAGATTGCTCTCGTCACACTCTCATAGAGGCCAAATTAAAAAAGGTGAATGTAAAGCTCTGCGCAAAGCTAAAGTGCTTGCAATAAAATTTAAGGACAGGAAGGATTGTTAATATACTAACCACCATCCATGACGAAAGCATGGCAGATGTCACTGTCTGAGGCAGAGTACAGACCAAACCTGTTTGCATCAGGGCTTATAACAGGCACATTTGATTTGGCTGATCAGCTGACTCAGCCATATATTATCTTAAGAAAGATAAAAGCCTGGTATAAAAAGGTGGCTATCTGATGCAAGTAGCAGCCCACAATTCATTTTTACTTTTTTTAAAAATGAATCCTGGAAAAATCACCTTTCTCCAATTTCAGCTCAAGCTGATTTCCACAATCATTTATGGAAATGGTCAAGTGCCAACAACGGTACCAGAGGAGTCCAGACATATTATTTTTAAGATACTGCCAACTGCAAAAAAACAAATCCCCAGAAACGTTGCCGGGTCTGTTATAAAAAAGGGAAAAGGACAGACACCCATTTGCACTGTCCTGATTGCCCTTCAAAACCTGGACTGTGTATTGGAACATATTTTAAGCTCTACCACACAGAACATACCTTTTTGTAATATTTGTTCCTGAATATTATTTTTGTTTCTTTTGAAAGCGGCAAATTTCTTTTAGCATAGGCATGCGCACGGGGTGTGCCAGGTGTGCCTGGGAACACCCTAATCCCCGCGGCACACCTATGGATTGAGACCAGCTCATGCAGGCACTATCCAGGGATGGCAGCAGCACGGTCCCCCCTCCCTACATAATGTAAGAAGGGATGGGGGATATTAACTAATCTGCCCCCACCCCTACAATCCCTCCAAACATACAGTGCAAACACACACACACACACACATACAGCACCCTTACACACACACGGCACCCACACACATACAGCACACACACTGCTTTAACCCCTTCAGCGCCAAGGAAGGGGGCCCTGAGGGTGTGTGTGGGGGGGGGGGTTCCTAAGGAGTATATAGTGTAAGGAAAACGAGTTTGTTTTCCTGCCACTATAGTGATCCTTTAAATGAATACTCTGGGTTGTCTACTTTAAAAAAAAGAAAATGTACATGTGGGGTGTTTTTCAGAGATTTATGACAGATAACAGTGTTACAATGTCACTATTGATCAATTTTAAAAATGTATGTTTTGAAATGGCAATATCCTCCTTGTACTTGGCGGTGTTCGGCATGGATTTCATGGAACTGAAAACGGACACCTTTTCTGCCGAACACCGCTGAAGCCGCCGACCTCCCTTCTCAATTGACAGAACTATACGAACACCGGCCATTCGGGAGTTTTATACGCACGAATGGACTTACCCCAGATAGCCTTCCCATGGAGTCAATTGCATACTGAAAGACTGTAATAGACTTTGACTCCATGGCGATTGAACTATGCGTATGGGATCTGAGCGCTATTCGCCAATAATATGCACTCAGATCCAGGCTATCTGGGGATACGTGATACGAATGGGTAACATTCGACAAATGTAAATTATATATTTTTATATGTTTTTCTGTGTTGAATTTAAAATGGCGATTTGCCTCTGTCCTGGAGATAATTGAATTACTTCTCAATTATCTCCAGGGCAGAGGGGAGGAAATACTAATGCATGCTGGGAATATTCTGTGTCTGTGGGTCCTAACCTGCCATATGTCTGTCTATTGTTACAGTCTCCCATTTGGTCCCCTAGGGGAGTGTCCACCAAGTGGGAGACCTGCATAAATACGGGCAGGTAGCCCACAGTAAAGCCAGTTCATGTTTTACCCTCAATGCGGAGCTTGGTCTCGTGAAGTGAAGTGAAGTGATCCCGTTCATGAGTTTACAGCGTTCCCCTGCTTGCGGTTCGTATGATTGTACTGGATACACATACAGCTTATGTTATTGCAAGAGGGGAGGATTTACTAAATGGCGGTTTGTGCATCTGATATTGAGGGTACCGTAACAACTGGTGGCAAGCGACGGGATGACCCTCATCGCCCAGAGAGACCACTACAACCAGGATTAATGGAAATACAATACCAAAGGCTGAAAAGAGCTACCCTAAAGGATTTATTGGAACAGAGAGGCGGACAAGCCAGTAATCTCAGGAAGGGGGAGATTATTGCACTACTGACCAAAATGGATGAAGGCTGAAGGAACCAATGGGCCCAGCGCAGTTGACAGAACCCTTAAGGAGGCAAGCTTTGACCGGTTGGTAAGAATCAGACTGGCTCATTATGGTCCTAACCCATCTGCAGAGATCATCAGCCGGGTCATGGACGCTGTGGAGGCCAACCTGCTACGCCAAAGAGGTGCTGCAGCAGCCCCAGTTCCAGCAGTCCCGGTGGAAAGAAAGAAGGTACAGTTTGCAGTGTTTAAATCCTTTAGTGAGACAGAAGGAGAGATTGATGGGTACCTTGCTGATTTTGAGCGGCAATGTGCCCTACACAAGGTACCCCTTGTAAGACTGGGTTACTATATTGTCCGGCAAGTTATCCGGCCGGGCCAGTGATGCTTTTCGGGCCATTCCTGATGAGGAGATCGGGGATTATGGGGCCGTCAAGGAAGCTTTGCTCTCCAGGTATGCCGTTACACCGGAGGCATACAGGAGGCGGTTCAGAGACATTGTCAAATCAGCTGGGGATTCTTATGTTGAATGGGCATGTAAAGTGCACCGCACAGCTGCCCACTGGATGGCGGGATGCCAAGCTGTATCAGGGGAAGAGGTGCTGCAAATGTTCCTGTTGGAGCACTGTTTTGAAAAATTATCCCCAGGCGTCAGAGAGTGAGTAAGGGACCGTAAACCCTCCACTCTGCATGAAGCAGCTTGCCTGGCGGACGAGTACACAGATGCCCGCAAACTGGACAGTGCTATTGGTAAGACTCCTGCCAGAGTGGAGTACCGACCAGCAGCTACCGTCTACCAACCACCGACGAACTGGCCGTCAGCACCCACTCCATCTAATAATTATCAGCAGCCACCCCGGTTCAACTCACGGGATTACTCACAACCCATTAAATGTTTTGGGTGCAAGCAGCTAGGGCACAAACGACTGGAGTGCCCGCTGAACAGTGCTAACCAGGCCCAGTCTTGGAGGAGACCAGCCAGTGGAAATCAACGACCCCCTCCCCCGGCTGCCCACTGCATAGAGGAAGAGGAATGCTCGGGTATCCTGCACGAGGCAGATCCTGTCCAAGCTGCCTACCAGGATAACCGACAGCACCACCGGCAATTTGTCAAAGTCAACGGGAAGGAGGTCAGTGGGGGTCAGTCTGAGGGATACCGGTGCAACCATGACCCTACTTCAAAAGCACTTGGTGTCTGAGAACCAACACACTGGATACACTGTGGCTGTGCGAGTAGCCGGAGGCGCTGTGTTTCGCCTACCCGTTGCCCGGGTACATTTGGATTGGGGAGTGGACACTAGACATGTGAATGTGGGGGTCATGAGGGACTTACCGGCGGATGTCCTCCTTGGAAATGACTTGGCTCCCCTTGTTTCTGCCTACGCTCCCATGGGTCCTGCTGAAGTGAACGCTGTCACGACCTGTGCCCAGACCCGTGCCGCCGAGACCGGCCCACCTGCTGCTGAGACCCAGGTAAGACTCTCTACCCCGACTTGTACCTTAGATCAGGCCCCTTTAGGCTGGGACACCCCAGAGATGTACGGGAGGGAAACCCAGGAAGACCCGACCTTAGAGAAGTATAGGGCCAGGGCAGATACTGGGGGAGAGGGGGTCGATGGGGAGCGTTACGAGTGGGTGGGGGATAGGCTGTACAGGATCCCTAAACCGTCCCAGAGACCGAATACCCCTCTACAGAATCGGCAGCTGGTGGTGCCTGTGAAATATCGGCAGGAGATTCTGCGGATTGGGCATGATGTGCCATTAGCGGGCCATCTAGGCTCCTGCCGCACAGCTCATAGGATCACCCAAAATTTCTTCTTGCCTAATTTCAACTGAGATGTGCGGGTCTATTGTAGCACGTGTGACACATGTCAACGGGTAGGTAAACGGGGGGATCACCCAAAGGCTAGGCTCATATCAATGCCTATTATTGGAGAACCCTTTTCCCGCATAGCCGTTGACATTGTGGGTCCACTGGCCAGGGCTAGCTCATCCGGTAAGAAGTATATTCTCACCGTGGTGGACTATGCCACACGTTATCCAGAGGCAGTAGCGCTGTCTAATATAGAGGCAGAGACGGTTTCTGATGCCCAGGTTAAAATTTTCACTAGGGTCGGGTTCCCTCGGGAGATCCTCTCCGACCAGGGAACTCAGTTTACCGCTGTGCTCACCCAGCAGCTGTGGAAGGTGTGCGGCATTAAACCGCTGCTTAGCTCACCTTATCACCCACAGACTAACGGTCTCTGCGAGCGATTTAATGGCACCCTCAAACAGATGCTGAGGACCTTTACTGACACTTGCAGAGACTGGGAGCGATTCCTGCCTCATCTGCTATTTGAATACAGAGAGGTGCCCCAGGAATCTACTGGGTTCTCTCCCTTTGAGCTACTCTATGGGAGAAGGGTCCGCGGACCCCTAGATCTCATTAGAGGACACTGGGAGGGAGAGACAGAGCAAGAGGGAACCCCCATCGTGCCATACATTCTGGAACTCCGGGACTGCATGGAGAAACTATCCCTGATGGTAAGGGAGAATCTCCAGGCGGCCCAGGGGAGACAGAAGAGGTGGTACGATCGGGGTGCCCGACAGCGGGTCTTTCAGGTTGGGCAAAAGGTTCTAGTGCTCAAGCCTGTGAAGACGAACAAGATGCAAGCATCTTGGCAGGGCCCGTATAAAGTGTTAGCTCAGGTATGTGATACTACCTATCTTATAGCCAGCTGTGCAGATGAAAGGATTCAGCGATCCTTTCATGTGAATATGCTGAAGGAGTATCAGGAAAGACCAGAGGATGTCGCTGCAGTGTGTGCCCCGGCTGCCGACAACCCCGAGAATTTACCCTTGCCCGACCTATTAGAGAAGGACCCACAGACTGATCTCACTAGTCTTGTACAGCTAGGGGACCAGTTAAGGCCCACAGAGAAGGTACAGGCAAGACAGCTTCTGTGGGAGAAGCAGGTGACATTCTCCCAAGAACCCGGCTACACTACTCTAGCTGTACACAAGGTAGAGACACCCGGACAGAGTCCCCTATGACAGCCCCCCCTATCGTATCCCTGAAGCAGTCCGGGAAGGAAGATGACTCGGCTTGGAGTCATCGAACACTCAGACAGCCCTTGGGCCTCGCCTGTAGTCCTGGTGCCCAAGAAAGATGGGACCACCCGGTTCTGTGTGGACTACAGGTGGCTCAACCCGATGCCCCGGGTAGATGAGTTATTAGACCGCATTGCCAGGGGGAGCTATCTGACCACCATAGACCTGTGTAAGGGTTATTGGCAGATCCCCCTGGCCGAGGATGCTATCCCTAAGTCGGCATTCGTCACCCCATTTGGTCTGTACCAGTTTAAGGTCATGCCATTTGGGATGAAGAATGCTCTGGCTACCTTCCAGGAATTTGCATGTGCATACCTGGATGACATTGTGGTCTACAGTGAGTCCTGGGAGGAACACCTGGTACACGTAGGGGTGGTTGTGGACAAGATTCGGGCCGCTGGCATGACCTTGAAGCCAGACAAATGCCATTTAGGCATGGCAGAAGTGTAGTACTTGGGTCACAGGGTAGGATGTGGGAGCCAGAGACCAGAGCCAGCCAAGGTAGAAGCTGTAGCTAACTGGCCCACACCTATCACCAAGACCCAAGTGCTGGCCTTCCTGGGAACAGCAGGGTATTACCGACGCTTTGTCCCCGACTACAGCACTGTTGCCAAACTCCTGACTGACCTGACTAAAAAGAACTTACCTAAGCAGGTCCTGTGGTCTCCAGCTTGTGAAGCCGCGTTTCAGGCACTGAAGCAAGCTCTTGTGAATGCCCCTGTCCTGGCTGCCCCAGTCCCTAACAAACGTTTTCTCGTTCATACAGATGCTTCTATGTATGGACTGGGGGCTGTGCTGAGCCAGGTTGGGGAAGATGGAGGAGAGCACCCTGTCGCATATCTCAGCAGAAAGCTACTACCCCGGGAAGTGAGTTATGTGGCAGTGGAGAAGGTTTGTTTAGCCCTGGTCTGGGCATTAAAGAAATTGAGCCCTTATTTGTACGGGCAGGAGTTCTCGCTTATCACGGACCACAATCTCCTTGTCTGGCTTAACCGGGTCTCAGGAGACAATGGTAGACTGCTGAGGTGAAGTTTAGCTTTACAACCTTACAACTTCACCATCAGCTACCGACCCGGTAAGCAGAACGGGAATGTGGATGGATTGTCCTGGCAAACCTATTTCCTCCTAGTCCGGTCATCCCCACGTTGACCAGCCACAGGGTCAAGCTGGGTCTGCCAGAGTGTTCCACAAGGGGGGAGCCGTGTGACAGATCCATCTGTATAGACTGGGATTGCTGGTTCGTCTATTTTGCCTTTTCGTGGAATTCCCCGTTCGTATGCCCCTGTTCAGTGAATTGACTTTTCCGCCGAACAAAACTACCGAACGGACGGCCACCCAGAAGAGAAGTGTGCTGCTGGTTAACCTCTTGATCCCAATTAGAACGTTGTGGTTAACCGCAGACACTTCTCAATTAAAACCGAATACAGGGTGGTCGTCGTTCGTATGTCGACCACGAGGCGGCGGCCATTTTAAACCATGCGAAAGACCAGCAGTGTTCGGCATGGATTTCATGGAACTGAAAACGGACACTTTTTCTGCCGAACACCGCTGAAGCCGCAGACCTCCCTTCTCAATCGACAGAAGTATACGAACACTGGCCGTTCGGGAGTTTTATACGCACGAATGGACTTACCCCAGATAGCCTTCCCATGGAGTCAATCGCATACCGAAAGACTGTAATAGACTTTAACTCCATGGCGATTGAACTATGCGTATGGGATCTGAGCGCTATTCGTCAATAATATCTCAGATCCAGGCTATCTGGGGATGCGTATGGGATCTGAGCGCTATTCGTCAATAATATCTCAGATCCAGGCTATCTGGGGATACGTGATACGAATGGGTAAGATTCGACAAATGTAAAGTTATATATTTTTATATGTTTTTCTGTGTTGAATTTAAAATGGCGATTTGCCTCTGTCCTGGAGATAATTGAATTACTTCTCAATTATCTCCAGGGCAGAGGGGAGGAAATACTAATGCATGCTGGGAATATTCTGTGTCTGTGGGTCCTAACCTGCCATATGTCTGTCTATTGTTACAGTCTCCCATTTGGTCCCGTAGGGGAGTGTCCACCAAGTGGGAGACCTGCATAAATACGGGCAGGTAGCCCACAGTAAAGCCAGTTCATGTTTTACCCTCAATGCGGAGCTTGGTCTCGTTATTGGGGGGATTTATTATCGACGACTCGAGACTGCCGGATGGGATTATTAGCCGCTTGGGAGATATATGCGTTCGGCTACTATTGGCGATTCGTGAGTTTAGAGCTTGTGAAGTGAAGTGCCCGTACGGATCCCGTTCGTGAGTTTACAGCGTTCCCCTGCTTGTGGTTCGTATGATTGCACTGCATATGCATACAGCCTATGTTATTGCGAGAGGGGAGGATTTACTAAACGGCGGTTTGTGCATCTGATACTGATGGTACCGTAACAGCCATATAACATGCAAAAAAAAAAAAGCATGTAAACACTCATGTGACAACATTTTGAATCTATTTAGCAGTTTTTTTTCATTAGCTTTTGTAGATGAGTAAAAGATTTTTCAAGTCAAAAAACGTTTTTGTTTTTTTTTAATTTTTCACCATATTTTTGTTTTTTTTAAATTAAATTACATGACATGATAGAAATTATGGTATGTAAAGAAAGCCCTTTTTGTCCTGAAAAAAACAATATATAATTTGTATGGGAACAGTAAATGAGAGAGAGGAAAATTGTAGATTATACTATTTTATAATCCTAATTTTATTAATGACAGGAGGCGAATATTTGCTTAAGTCTCTCTTTCCTAGAACTCCACAGAAGCCATAGGCGTGCGCACGGGGTGTGCCAGGTGTGCCTGGGCACACCCTAATCCCCGTGCGCCACGCATGGATCGAGACCGGCAGGGAAGATCAAAATATCTCCCCTGCCGGCTCAAGCACAACAGATTGGCCCCGAGAGAGACTCTGAAGAGCTCTGTTCCGTTTGGATACGGAGCAAACAGCCTCCAGGCTGCACGCAGGGCAGCCCTCTCGCGATCGCTGATATTTTCAGAGCGTTGCCGTGGTAACCCGCGGCAACGCTCTGAAACTCCAGCTCTCGCGAGAGAAAGGCATGGTCTGTACCCTGAGGAGGTACAGACCACATCACTAGCCCACTGGATCACCAGGGATGATCAGCAGCGTGCTCCCTCTCCCCCCCCTGCAAAGGTAATAAGGTAACAAGGGGAAAGGGGAGTAAGTTGTTTTTTTTAAAGTTTTTTTAAATAATGAACCAATCAAAATATATACATAAATTATACCCCACCACTTACTCACTACACCCTATATACACACTGCAGCTACACACACTATACACCTTATATACACCCCCTACACCCCTATACATAACACTACACCCCCTGCACCTACACACTATACCCCTATACATAACACTACACCCCCTGCACCTACACACTATACCCCTATACATAACACTACACCCCCTGCTACTACACACTATACCCCCTATATATAACACTACACCCCTATACATAACACTACACCCTCTGCACCTACACACTATACTCCCTATACATAACACTACACCCTCTGCACCTACACACTATACTCCCTATACATAACACTACACCCTCTGCACCTACACACACTATATACACCCCCTACACACTATAAGCCTATACATAACACTACACCCCTTCACCTACACACTATACTCCCTATACATAACACTACACCTCTGCACCTACACACACTATATACACACTATACCCCCATACATAACACTACACCCCCTGCACCTACACACACTACACACTATACTCCCTATACATAACACTACATCTCTGCACCTACACACAATATACACACTATACCCCCATACATAACCCTACACCCCCTGCACCTACACACACTACACACTATACCCCTATACATAACACTACACCCCCTGCACCTACACACTATACTCCCTATACATAACACTACACCTCTGCACCTACACACACTATATACACACTATACCCCCATACATAACACTACATCCCCTGCACCTACACATTATACCCCTATACATAACACTACACCCCCTGCTACTATATACATAAATTATACCCCACCACTTACTCACTACACCCTATATACACACTGCAGCTACACACACTATACACCTTATATACACCCCCTACACCCCTATACATAACACTACACCCCCTGCACCTACACACTATACCCCTATACATAACACTACACCCCCTGCACCTACACACTATACCCCTATACATAACACTACACCCCCTGCTACTACACACTATACCCCCTATATATAACACTATACCCCTATACATAACACTACACCCTCTGCACCTACACACTATACTCCCTATACATAACACTACACCCTCTGCACCTACACACTATACTCCCTATACATAACACTACACCCTCTGCACCTACACACACTATATACACCCCCTACACACTATAAGCCTATACATAACACTACACCCCTTCACCTACACACTATACTCCCTATACATAACACTACACCTCTGCACCTACACACACTATATACACACTATACCCCCATACATAACACTACACCCCCTGCACCTACACACACTACACACTATACTCCCTATACATAACACTACATCTCTGCACCTACACACAATATACACACTATACCCCCATACATAACCCTACACCCCCTGCACCTACACACACTACACACTATACCCCTATACATAACACTACACCCCCTGCACCTACACACTATACTCCCTATACATAACACTACACCTCTGCACCTACACACACTATATACACACTATACCCCCATACATAACACTACACCCCCTGCACCTACACACACTACACACTATACTCCCTATACATAACACTACATCTCTGCACCTACACACAATATACACACTATACCCCCATACATAACCCTACACCCCCTGCACCTACACACACTACACACTATACCCCTATACATAACACTACACCCCCTGCACCTACACACTATACTCCCTATACATAACACTACACCTCTGCACCTACACACACTATATACACACTATACCCCCATACATAACACTACATCCCCTGCACCTACACATTATACCCCTATACATAACACTACACCCCCTGCTACTACACACTATACCCCCTATACATAACACTACACCCCCTGCACCTACACACTATATACATACTACACACTCTACCCCCTATATACACACTACACCCTCTGCACTCACACACTCTATACCCCCTATACACTGCACTCAATCACTACACAAACTCTATACTCCCTATAAACACACGTATTACTCTGCATACGCACACACACAAAAGCACTACACACTCTATACCCCTATAAACACCTCACCACTGCATTCATACTATGCCGATATACACCTCCTGTGCACCCACTGTACCCCTATGCACACACAACTCCCCTAAACACACACTACACCCCCTATTATTACCACACCAATACACACATGTGCACAACACCTATACGCATACACACAATGCCACCCCCTGCAACTCCTAGATGCACGAAATACAGTCCTTACATGCAAACGCAACACACCACTAGGCACACACACTCTAAAGACCCTATAAACAGACACACACACACACACACACACACACACACACATACATATAATATACAGCCCAAAAACACACCTATACACTACAGGCCCCAGCTACATATTATATACCACAAACAGACCCCTTTACACTCTACAGCATAACCGATCTCCTCTACACACATGCAATCACATAAAAAACATCCAAACACATATAACACCACAGGGAGTATTCCCATACGTGCAAAACACATGTTAACAATCCTTTTCCACTAATGGGGACACCAGAGACAAGTCACTAGGACTTTTTCTCCATCAGACAGCACTGAATGCTCTGGTGGGGTATCACACTAACATAACAATTGGGAGGGCGGAGGGTGCTTGTCAATAGTGGCGATATAACGTGCCACATTTCTGGCCCACCCTTCCTAGTGGGCTGCTCTGCCTGGGCTGACTTTTTGTCCCAGTCCAGCCCTGTTCACCGGCCCACATGCAGGAGAGGACCCGGGGAGCTCTAGCCAGCAGTTCCGCTGGGTTCCTCTCGCGAGGTCGGAGTGTTGCCACGGCCACGCTCAGATCTTGTGAGAGTGAACTCTAGCCCTGCAGGCTAGAGTTCACTCACTAGGACCACCAGAGTTCAGGCATGGCAGCACAGACACATACACGCACTAACAGCACCCTCACACACACACACACAGCAGTATGTGTATGTATGTGTATATATATATATATATATATATATATATATATATATATATATACATACATACATACACACATATATACGCGGCGTGTGTGTTTGTGCTTTAGGGTGCACACCCTAATGCAATAGGCTGCGCACGCCTATGACAGCAGCACATTAACACAGAGAAAAACAACCAATCAGAAAAAAGTTAGATACAAGGTCCCCTCCCAACCAACTATTTCCTCTTTCAAGCTGCGACAAATAAAGAACAGAAACAAACATTCATCTAGTAGCAGTACAAAAACCAAACAATATTAACTGATGACCTCCATCCAGAACCCGAAACGGAACGTGGATCCGTAGATGAACCATTACACTTTAACCAGACGAAGGTCTTGAACGTGGATCTGTAGACGAACCATAAACTGAAACGAGAGAAACAGAGTCGAACACTCCGATTAGTGCATGAAATGTACTGTGAAAACATAAAGACCCCTAATTACATACAGTACAATAACTATAAAATCTCACCCTGGCTTCCCTCAGGAAGGCAAATAACTGACCCACCCAATTATAGCCCTGGAGAACAGACTATTAACTAGAGGTGGTCAAATAGAACCAAACAGATTACAAGGGTAGGGTGAAACTGGGAGGGAAATATTCACCTCCTGTCATTAATAAAATTAAGATTACAGTTACACTAAAGCTAGTATAATCTACAATTTTATAACATGACAGGAGGCTTCATATTTGCTGTTTTAACGCTCAGACAGCAAAGCAAAAGAAACACGATCCGCCGGTCTAACCTAAAATTGGCGGGAGGTACCAACTCGGAATCCAAAGCTGCATGACTGATGTCCTGGAGCGATGCGCCCGCCATGCAGGCGTCTGAGGCCTCCGCGCCGCTAACCCGAAAAAGGCTCCGAAGGTCGAATTCACCCCCTGCCAATGTCAACCATAAATCCATCGCGCCAAAGAAGGAGACAAGACTGGATTGATAGTTCTAACAGAAGAAATCAATAACTGACTAGAAAGGCGAAGAGGTAAGGAATTGTCCCATAACGAAACAGCGCCGCCGCTACGCAGAGTATAGGAGAGTCACAGCAATACGGGTAGAATATAAAGGGGTTGTGGTGGAGATAAAAATCTCACAGGTGAGGAGTAAATAATATAGATAGAGATTAAACTCTACTGGACTGGATGGGGTTCCCACCTTATAGCCCTTTTAAGTGCAATCTGAAAGTAAGATGTTAGATAAAATCTAACTAGATGCCCAGGAGTAATATAGGAATATAAGATAGTTCTATAGAACAAAATATACAGAATTTTACAGTATTTTGTTCTATAGCACTATATTCCTATATTGCTCCTGGGCATCTAGTTAGATTTTATCTAACATCTTACTTTCATGTGTAGAATATAGCTGTCAAATCCTACTAGTACGTATAGACACCCTGAAAGTGACACTTGCCGGAGAGAAAGAAGAGGCGTCAACATCTAAGGCCGGGACGTCCGACCCACGTCTGAAAGAAATAAGGCATAGTAAGAAGGCAAAATAGCCAAAAGTCGACAAAGGGAAGGTCCTGAGTATCAGGCCAATCCTTGGGGAATGAAAAAAAAAATCATGTGTACGTCCCAGAGAAAGGAACCCCTAGGCCTCGGAGGTCGTGACAGTCACATACCTCTGAAACATCTGCAAACCAGCAGGTCCTGACCAATGGGAAGACCTCTAATCGGTTCGTGGACTGCTGGAACTGCCGATCTAACTACATAAGCCAAACGATACGAGTGTCCCAGGTCAAACCGGTGTGACCGAAAATCCAGAACACTGGTTACAGGGCCCGTAAAGGGATCGGTATCTAGTTTCAGATACCAACTACACCAGGACCACCATTCTGACAAATAGCATCTCCTAATCCCAGGGGCCCCAGCAGAGGTCCTAGCCGACTACGATAACGCCTCACTACCCCAGGCTCCCCTGAAAGAGTCCAGGCCACAAAGCGGATGTATTGCATCAGCTCCCCATGGCGACCACACTTGGAGGAGAGCGTCCATCACTGAACAAGCCTGAACCGTGAGCCAGCCGAAGCAGGTCGGGACCCGAAAGTTCATCCGCGAGGCGCAAAAGGTCCGCTTTGAACGGACCCCTCCGGCCTACGATCTTGAGGAAGGTGGGACGAGAGATCCTACAATCTCCGGCGTCCCTCCCATGTCTGGAGAACCAATCCATCGTCAGGTTCAACTCCCGACGGATCCTCTGCCTGGAGGATAATGTTGCATCGGAAGCAGAAACCGTAGAACTTCTTCGTAACCTTCGAGAAAGTCCGTGAGTGGGCTCCTCCCAGGCGGTTGAAGCCTTGCACCGCTGAGGCATTGTCCATTCGGAGGAGGATGCAGCAATCAGAAAAGTGACTCGCAGACTCTGAATCGCAAACGATCCCTCAAGTAATTCCCGGCAGTTTATGGGGGACTCCGACTCCATCTCAGACCATGGACCCCCTCGTGGAACTGGTCGCGCAGATGGCTCCCCGCAGATCACCTTGCCGTACAGGCCGAAATGAGAAGGAGTGAGGTGAACCATGGCCCTGTACTGGAGTGGGTCCGGGTAGGTCGGACTACGCGTGGTGGGTCGCCGATGCAGAGAGGAGACCCACCACGCGTAGTCCCATAGGACAACAGGTGAAATGGCAAAGTCTGTCCTAACCAAGGAAACTGCAAAATCTTCTGCACTCGTCCACCGGGACAGAGAGGTAGGCGTCCTTCAGATCCAGTACTGTCATGGGTGGGGTAGGTATGGATGTCACCATCCCAGTGCCCAACAAGCGGTGTCTGGCCGGCGAGGCCGATAGCATAGAGCTAAATCGCTTTTTTGGAGCCTTCCCCCTCCGGGGGCTTGGCTCAGGGCTTTCGCTTCTGCGCACTTGCCTGCTCTCTACTAGGAGAGTCTGACTCCACCGAGTCATCTGCCCTTTGAGGGGTCCCTCAAGCGCAGTCCGGCTATGCTGGAGGGAGAGCCGTGGCCAGTTCTTGTTCCACGGAGGCGGACACCACTGCATTAATCATACACCTATAGACTCTGCTCCTGGGTAGAGGGCTCCACAGTCAGGGGGACTTTAGGTGATGTGACACCTAGGGGTGTAGAGGATAAATGTCACCTTTAGCAGAGTAATTTGGGGCAGCACCCCATATAGTGGCAGAGGCAAGTTGGGTGGCGCATTCAGGGCGCTAGCGTAAGTCTGTAGCACTAAGCCGTGCATTCAGGAGGCAATGGCACAGACAGCGCAAGCCAAATCAATGTGGCACAGACAGAGCAGGCCAATCAATGTGGCACAGACAGAGCAGGCCAATCAGTGGGTACAGACAGAGCAGGCCAATCAGTGGGCACAGACAAAGCAGGCCAATCAGTGGGCACAGACAAAGCAGGCCAATCAGTGGGCACAGACAAGACAGTCCAATCAGTGCATGCAGGTAATTGCCATGTGTAGCCGACCATTAGAGAATACCATAATGTAGGGCAGAACATTTAAATCTCTGGATTTATTTATCACCTAATGACTAGTCTCCTGCCTATACCAGTGGTGTTCTCCTATGTGTAGGTATGCAGGAGACAACTGGTAGGCAAAAGAAGGCCCAAATAGTAGGGGAAGCGTTCATTCCCTAGATGAGTATGCACTACATACAATACAGGCAAAAGAGACATTCAGATACTTCTGATTTCCAAGTGCATACTGGGGATGTTACATTTACTCAATTTAATCATTTGTTTACATTAAGGACTGAGTCAGCAAAACCCCATCAGAACTGTATACAAGGCGTGTATCAAAGAACCCTAGTGCATAGAAAAAAGGAATGGACTAAATACAGGCAAACCTAAGTCCCCCCCCTGCACAGAACATGGATGTGGTCTCATTAGATCGTACACCTCCCACGTGAGTAAGTGCCGAGACCGAAGGGGGAGCGAAATGAGGCCGGGAGCCGTCGCTCCCACGTGGCCGGCTCGCCCTCTCCCCTCCACCCACGCTGCCCGCAAGCTGCGAATCCAACACTTGCGGTCGGGAGCGTGGGAGGGAGCGGAGAAGTGACAGAGACAGCTCCCACTCGGTGAACCGAGTTGACGAGCGGGAGCATACATGTGGGGCCGCTGGAGGCGATCAACGCGGCACCGACGGTTGTCAACGGGAGGCGGTTCACAGAAACGCTCCCCGGCAACTGCTGAAAGGTACACACAAACAACAAGGCAAAAGGGGGAGAAAGAGCCAGGCTGGGAATAGGGAGGGGGGCAAGCAGTATACCCCCAAACAAAGGGAAAGGAAAGGAGGGGGGGGACAAACAGGCAGGGAGAAAGGATGAAAGCAACAGACCAGCCAATGCACACAAAGGGAAAACAAATCTAAACACACACAACCAAAATAATGCGAATAAAATACAGCAATCAATAGTATTTAAATAAAATACAGCAATCAATAGTATTAAAATAAAATACAGCATTCAATAGTATTTAAATAAAATACAGCAATCAATAGCATTTAAATAAAATAATCCACAGCCACCCATATAAAACAGGAGTCAGTGGTACTCTGACCTGTGCAGCAAAGAAAGAGGAAATAGTTGGTTGGGAGGGGACCTTTATTGTATCTAACTTTTTTCTGATTGGTTGTTTTTCTCTTTGTTAATGTGCTGCTGTGGAGTTCTAGTAAAGAGAGATTTAAACAAATATGAAGCCTCCTGTCATGTTATAAAATTACAGCCAAACACAAACACCACAAAAGTGTTAAAATAGCTCTGGTCGTTAACGTACAACATGGCCAAAACAGTCTGGTCCTGAAGGGGTTATATTTATATATGTATATATAATTCTTTTTTGTAATATTGAATCTTATTGTAACAATGTAATGTTTTGTGGACCCAGGACATACTTTAAAACGTGAGAAATCTCAATGTATCCATCCTGGTAAAATATTTTATAAATAAATAAATATACCCTTCCTGTGCAATGCTGAGCAGATAGCCATGAACGCTTTGCAAAATGCTGTGTGGATGTGAACCGTATCATGGAAGTTTAAAAAAATTTCTATGATGGGTCACGATCTTGAGGTTTTGCCAGGACTCAGCCTATG